TTGACAAGTACATAAGCAAACAGTACAAACTCAAGTGGTGGGTCAGCTTCTCGTACAATGCGTGCAGCACGCTGCTCATCTCATAGCAGAAGGTTGGCTGAATCTATGTACAATTCAAGCAGAATAAAGAATATGAAAAATGAGTAAACAATGGCTAGGAAGAATCATTGGTATCACAATGAAAGAAGTCTTTCCTGGAACTGCGTCCTTCCCAAATATCCGATTCAGCAAAGCACTGAAACACACATGCTTAATTTTAAGCACATGCATAAGTGCTTTGTTGAATCAGCCTCTTAATGTCCATATTTATTGGTTTCTCTGAACGTATGCTCAACACTAGAAATTTGAAACTGTTTGGACTTGAATTTGGCTTTCACAAAGATTTATTACTATTCATGAGGTACCTCTCCAGGTAGTCAGCAAGACACACCCATATAGACTCCGTCTCACACACATAGTAGCTGGATGGGTTTTGTAATTATGAAGGCCCTTCTGGAAAGCATTCAGCATGAAATCTACCCCCTGCAAAGGGTTAGCTCAAGGCCTTTTGAAGTCCTCGTAAGACGGTATAAATAAATAAATGGAGATATCCTATCTCCTAGAACTGGAAGGGACCTTGAGAGGTCATCAAGTCCAGTCCCCTGCCTTCACTAACAGGACTAAGTACTGATTTTTGCCCCAGATCCCTAAGTGGCCCCCTCAAGGATTGAACTCACAGCCCTGAATTTAGCAGGCCAATGCTCAAACCACTGAGCTATCCCTACCCCCTGTGGGACAGAAGTGGTGGATAGGCTCTTTTGCCCTCAGAAAGTCTTTCAAATGTAATTTCTGGTGGAGGTTGCAGAGTTTGTTAGCAACAGGCAGCTTCTCCGGGTATTTGTGAGATGAAAAAGTATAAGGCAATAGAAAACAATGCCAGCATGAGTGTGGTTCCATTACTGCTGTCCCCTCTGAGGCCCTGTGGCCAGACGTCTGAGGCATCGTGTTCGAAATAAATTGTAAATGTTTGTTACTGGTTTTCTCATTTGTTTCCTGTTTGGGAGACCTTCCCCCCACCTCTTTCTTCCCAACCCTTCATCTCATTGAGAAACACTGGGTAACAAGCTGTGCCCCAAACAGCTGTGAGAGCTCTGCTGCTGCATTAATTGTGTGTGTGTGTGTGAGAGAGAGAGAGAGAGAGAGAGTTCTGTGGTGTATGAGGATGTGGCTTCAGGCTTGCTTAAAACAATGTCTGGAGGAGGAAGTACGCTGAGGTGGAGTCCAGCAGCCTGTTTGCTCTGGACTTAGGCTAGGTCTACACTAAGAGGGGGGGGGTGTCGATTTAAGATACGCAAATTCAGCTACGGGAATAGCGTAGCTGAATTCGGTGTATCTGATCCAACTTACCCCGCTGTGAGGACGGTGGCAAATCGACCGCCGCGGCTCCCCCGTTGACGGCGCTTACTCCTACCTGGGCTGGTGGAGTACACGCGTCGATTCGGGGATCGATTATCGCGTCCCGACGAGACGCGATGAATCGATCCCCGAGAGATCGATTTCTACCCGCCGATCCGGGCAGGTAGTGAAGACAAGCCCTAAGCTTTCTGTAATTGTTTATAATGATCGGTGACTGTACTTTTTGTCTCTGATACACAGCCGTGGTGCCAGCCAGTGGTTTATCTTTGCTGGTAAATTATTAGGGCCAGATTCTCAGCTGGTGTAAGTCCATGGATCCAGTGGAGCTATGCTGTTTTACACCAGCTCAGGATCTAGCCTTTGTGTCCAGCTTTCACGATGCACTTTCAGGAAAGGAAAGAACTGCTGTGATCTTTAAACGGGAAGATTTTCTTTACCAGTGAGGTTACACAGACTCAAGGACTTAATTTTCATTTTCTTTTAACTAACTTGGAGAACTTGATTGGAGAACAAAGCAAACAATGTCCATTCTCTGCAATGAGGGCTGATATCCCCTGGAAGACTATTTCTTAACCGATTTGGGAATTTTCCCCCCTGATACTAAGATAGGCACAAAGGCCAAAGGAAAAGTTCACATAGCTCTTTGTTCATTGTGGGCCATGTTGTAGATTAAGAGTACGTTTACACTTGACATTCTCACGCAAGCTCGCTGGAAGCAGAGTGTAGCTGCACTGTGTGAGCGGTGGGAGCGGTTAGCCATGCCAAGTATGTACCTGTTCAAGATGCTAGGTATGTACTCAGGGCAGCTAACTCCTCCCGCCACTTGCGTTGCCACAGCTTCCCTCTCTCAAGCTAGTACATTTATGTCTCTTCACGCTGGAATTTACACTTCCATCTTGAAATGCAGACACACCCTAGCATCCATGGGCTCAGAATGTTTCTGTAGTATTGGCTGTTCCCATAGGATTCACAGATTTTCCTCACAAAACTATTTGTACCTTTGCTGATGTTCCCCATTGGTCGATCTGCACTGGCTGATGTCTTTAAATCATATGTCTTAAAGGCTTGTTGGCTCACAAGTGCCCCAGATGCTTTGTGCACATCTGGCTCTGGCTAAGACTCAGAGACTTGGAAGTAGCTGATACTGCCAACCTGCTTCGATGGTAGAGTGGTTCATATGGAATACCAGTATAGGAGGGGAATATTGCCAGGACCAGAAGAGGTCTTGGGTTGGGTATATGAGGCACTAAGTAGTTTGGGGGAAGATCATATAAGAATCTTTCTAAAACTTTGTCCCAAACTCAAACCGAACCTGCCCGTCCAGATTCTGTCTAGGTCCAGAAATGGAAAGGCCAAAATGCCACTAAGAGACAATGCCAGATTTATTTCTAGTGTAAGCAGAAGCAAGAAGTACCAGAAATCTTACAAGGAAAGTCCCTTTCCACAAAATCTCCTGCCAGTTTTGCAGGCCCAGAGGTTGAGATAATTTAGGTCAGAATAATTATGTTTAGACACAACTCTGCCTAACACAGTGCAAAAAAAAAAAATCAGCTTATTTTCTATTGGCCAAGAAAATATATTAGTCCTGTGGGATTTGTTTATCCATAATCACTAATAGGTACAAGTTAAGTGACACAGTGGTACAAATGCCCATCTGAGTCTTGTTTATACTACACCAGACACAGATTCAACCAATGTTGATGCTGCACCCACATGGAATTGTATGTCTCAAAAATTTTAACCCAAAATAGACGACAGATTAGACTATTAAAGAGCTCCCCAGTCTATAGCATGGTTCTGTAAACCAACTTCTAACAGAGGTCACCAGAGTTCAGCTCTATCCAAGCTGCCCAGGAAAACCATGTTAGCACTTTGCCAGCAAGAACTGTGTTCAAACATGTTTCTGGCTAACACAGTTTGAACTGTAGTGTTGTGACTCATTCAGTGGAGATGGGCACAACACCCACTCTGTCGCACCCACACTCCTTGCGTCAGCGCTCAGGGAAAGTAAGGGTTTTTTCCTTTCTTAAACAACTAAAAAAGCCCTCTTTCAGCTGCAGTTCTGACATCCCCAAAACTGGTTACAGTAATTACAGATAGCAATTACATATCTGCCTGCTTCATTTTTCACAGCTGGATATTCTGGTGCATTTAAAATTGGACAGCAGCGCTGGGCGGATTCACCATTTCTCTGCTGCTTGGGTAGTCATTTATACCAGTGAAAAGTAAGTACAAAAACCAATGTAAAATGATGCTAAAGCAGAAAAATACTGTTTGACACTTGGCACCGATGTATCCGAGGAGGTGCAGGGTAATGGGGATTTGAGCCAAATGTGCTTATCTTGGGGAACACAAAATGGAATAGGCAAACGTGTTCAAACGTGTCCACTGACTTTGGGTGGCTGTAAAGTTTGGGAGCCCAACTCAAGACACCTTGAGCCTGATTTTCGGAGGTGCTGGGCACCTGCAGTTCCAGTGACAGTCAGTGGGCTAGGTCTGCAGCTGACATAGCTCCACAGATTCCAACAGAACTGTGCTGATTTAGCTGAGGATCTGGTCCAATATCTTAAGTAGCTTCCCAAAAGCAAAAGCTTGCAAAATAATTTTCTGCTTTTGAAAATTCTGGGCATGATTAACACATTTTATCCTGTCATGCAGAATTCTGTTGGCAAAAGCCCGCTATATTACACCACTGCAACCCCATTGATGTTAATTGCCTATTGGCCAGATTCTGATATCTTGATTTATATTGAATAGCACATTACTCAGTTTCAATGTGACTCATCATGGACTAAAGGTACTATTTAGTGTAAGTGGATCAGATCTACCCCTATACATTTTAGCTGGATAAAAAAATCCAAGAACTCCAAGAATGCAGAGTATTTCATGCTTCTAATACCTAACATTCAGAAGACATCGTTTGCAAAATGTACTCCCCCTGAGCAGGCACAGAGCACATTTCAGAGTCTAGTTACATTTGCTTAGAACCTGTCTTAATCAATAATTTTTGCCATTTCATAAATTTCCTTAAGAACTGTCACAATACTCTTTAAATGGAAATACAGTCAAACATGCTTATAGTGAAGTCAGCATTAGCAAAGCCCCTTTGAAAGTGAAGGAGTGTGAAAGTCCTCCATTGCTGCAGTGCACCGAACTATACAGTGCAATCTGCTTACAAATAATTTGTTCTTTGAATAAAAATCACTTTGGTATCAAAGGTTCCACTGTTTAATTTCAGTTACACGAAATCATTGCTGACAGTATCCTCTTGCACACAGTACATGGTAAAACTGGAGACATTTTCAAGGGCTGTTGATGTAATGCTTTCACTGAGTGCTTATAATAGTTCCCACTGCCTTGCATTCCTGTGTAAAAGGCAACATGCACAAAAACTGGTTTTGAACACTCAGTAAACTTTACCAGTTTGAAAACTTGGACGTGTCTCTCTCATGTTAGACACTCACTCAACAGTGGCTTTAAGAATTCAAAAGGGAGGGCTTAATAAACAACACAGACCTGTCCCGCTGCAAATGAATAAGAACAACACAATCTGTGTTAATTACAACAAATCATTGGAAATAATTTCATCATAGGATTCTTCTTACCTTCTTCAGCAAATGCCCTGAAGGGCATGCTCCCTAGGAGGAAGATGAGGAGTTGAGTTTGAATAAACATCTTTGGTAGTTCTGTTAGAGAATAGGTTTCCAATCCTGGGATCAAACTATTCCAAATTCTGATTATTTTAGAGACAGCATGGGGGAAAGTTGAAATCACAAGCAGAAATCACTGTGGAAAAACTTTGGGGTTCCAAATATTCCGTTCACTGCAGTAGCTAGAGGGGTAGGTTTTCCCAGAGTGATAACTATATAGCTAAAGAAAAGTAACTGAGAATGGAGTCAGCATTTTTTGTTAACTCAGGGGTGGGAGGCTATCTAAGGTGGTCTTGAAAAAAAGAGTCAGGCCCGCCCTCTGCACTCTGTTTGGCCAGCACTAAAATTATGATCTCAGACCAGGTTTAAAGTTACAAAATCCGCATAGGATTTTTAGAAGATGCCCGAGACAGTTATCTTTAGTGAAGGGGGAGGGGAATTCAGGCAGAGGGAGGTGAGCAGGGAGTTCCCTCCTTTCTATAAAGTCCCCTTTCAAAAATATTTAAGGACCCAGGGTAAAACATAATTTTTCCTGTTTTTTTCCAGCAGTAAACTAATGGTGTTTTCTTCACTTCTCAGTAAGCCTGTGTGTGTGTGTGTGTGTGTGTGCAGGGATAGAGAAATAATTGTGGAACAGAGGATTTAATGCTGCTAGTAAACACAGAGTCTGATTTTGGTATGTGTGTGTCTGTCTGTGTGTCCTCAAGTGACATCCTAACCGTCATCTAGCATTTATATGTTGGCATGTTCCTGCTCTAGCAAGCACTGAGAGCATTCTGCTCTCTGAGACCTTGGACAAGTAACTTAATTTTAGCCTCAGTTTACTCATCTATACCTACTACCTAAGGGTGTTGTGAAGCTTAATTAAGTCAGATAGATAGAGTAACTGACTGACCATTCCTGGGACACCCCTGATCCCCCAGAATAGTGGAGTCCCTTGGTCCTCCCTACTCAAGGTCCATCTGCGCTTCCCCTCACCCCTTTTAGGAGCAATGTGCCCTGCATTCCTACCAACTGGGGCCTCCACCTAGGGCTGGGTGTACGAAGGCCTAACACCCTATGACCACTAGGATATTCCTTAACTAGGACAGTAAAGCAAACACCACATAACAATAAATGACAGTTCAGTCCTTGGACAGGAAAGGGGTCAACTGAAAGGAGGAGATGGGAACGGGCAAGAGTTTCACGGATGAGAACTAAACAAGGCTCCAACCAGTCTTGTAACAACAACAGAAAGTTCACCATGAAATCAATAGGCCAGATGGGGGCAGAGGGCTTGGAGCTCAGGATATAGAGATAGTGTCTGTGCCTGGGCGGCTGACAGCTCTCATGCCAGCAGGATGGCATCCAAAGCGGGACTGAGCCCTGGCTCCCAGTGCCTGGAGGGCCTATGGCCTCTGCTGGTCTGCAGCCCCTACAACTACAGTGTTGCCAGCTCTCGTGATTTTTCCACGAGTCATGGGATTTTGGAGCCTGTCTGGCAATGACGTGAGATGATCCCTTCCCAGCCTGGAAGGGGGAGATGAGCACCCTGCTGAGCCCTCCCAGGTCTGGGGAGGAGAGTGAAGAACTCCAGGAGAAGCAGAGGTGAGACTGGGGGAGAGGGGCAGAACTGATCTGGGGCCTGAGGGGCAGCAATGAACTGATGGGGCAGGGGAATGGGCAGAACTGATGTGGGAGCAGAACTGGGAGCAGGATTAATTGCTGGGCAGAGGATGGGCAGATATAAGGGTGAGAGTCCCAGTGGCAGAGCCAAAATCCCCTTACCCGATAAATCCGGGGAAATGGGCAACACTAATTGTCACACATCTATCCTGGACCTGTGGAAGCAGCCACTGTGAAGTCCTCAGACTGGCAGGAGCTACGCGCGTGCACACATGAATGAATGAAGGCCCACAGCCCCCGTAAGTAGTAGGTACAGATGAGTAAACTGAGGCTAAATTTGAACGTGTATATAAAGAACTGCAAATGAAAGGTGCTATAAACAGAATTCTTTTGGGTGTTTTTCCAAGCAAATACATGGCATTTGTGGGTTGCCAGTGAGCTGGTTGGCTGGGGGCAGCGTGCTTCACAGCAGTTGAAATCAGTCTTGTATAAGGCATTGGGAAGATGTTCCCCTTGCTAGGGGAACAAAAATCTCAGCTGGAAATTGGATTAAAAATGGAAGTTTGTTTAACCTCGTGATATTTTAAAACACTTGGCACTTTATTTATTTATTTATTTTAGCCTCCTTTATTTAAAAGATTTTGATTATATTCTATTTGAAATTTCCGCATGTGCTATTTTACTGATTAAAAACCTATGTTTGTTCTCCCTCCCACCCATTACATATCGGGCACCTTAATTAATGCTGTTGATTCCCATCTGCACAATATAATGTTAATCATTTACTCCATAGAAAATGATATACAATATCTTCTGCTACCATCCATCAAAATTACCGATGTCTTGATTTCAGTGCCATTCATTCCATCCACTAATTTGGCTTTGGAGAACATGATGGTCTTCTTGAACCAGAGGCAACAAATAGAAAAGTTCCCCTTTTTTCCCCCCCATTGACTCATCATGCTGTAACAGCCTTCCTAGGGATTGTTTCCAAAGGATAGGACTTCTAGAAGTGAAGGGCTGGATGTGTTATTGGCATGTGTCTTCAATGGAGAAGATCCTCTTATTCCAGTGATGAATTTGGCTTGATGTCTCAGCACTGGTCATTCCGTTTTCCCAGCAATGACACATCCCATTTTTCAGCAATTCTGCATTCAGTGCCAAAGGTTTAGCTATACCAGTAAGTTAAGTGCCTATAGCCAAATACTCCTTTTTGAAGCTCAGATCACTAGGAAATTAGAATTAAACACTAAAGCTCAATGTTAATTTAAGAGTTAGCAGCTTTTCTTGACTATAGCCTGCCTGGATTATTGTCTTCATAGAACTAACTAAACAAATATATCCATGTACTGTGTTTCAGCATGTCCTGAGTTTCCTATAAAACCTGGGATGGATTATTCAGGGGTTGAGCTGGTTAAAAAATTCCCAACAGAATGTTTTGTGTTGGTAAATGCGATTTTGTTAAAAATGAAACTTTTCATAGGAATGTGCTGATTTCAATAACACTTCATTTTAAAAAAATATTCAAAGTAGTTTGACCTTATCAGAACAGAATGGTTAGATTTTTTTGTTTCAGAATGACTTGTAGTCTGGGTCTTTATTTTATATTATTGTATACAATTTAATATCATATCCAATTTAAAAAGTCTAAAATATTTGAAAATGTTACCTAGAAGAATTTGAAATGTTTTGGTTTTGTTCTGATTTGGAACAAAAACAAATGGAAATGTCAGGGTCTTTCCAGGACATTAGCCCTGTTTTCCCCCTTGATCAATGAACCTATTTACAGGTACCCTGAGAAATTTGCATGTTTAGAGTCAAATTTGTCCACAGATGCACGGATGTATCTCTTGCTGGCTTCAGAATGAGAATCGTTTTGAAGGAGGACATGTAGTTTGCTGGATTAAATAACTTCATTCTTTAAAGTTCATTTAATTCTATTTGATAGAACAGAAAGTGTCTCTAGTTGGGCTATCAAGAAATAGAGGCGTCCAAAGATCAGTGGCTACTTCTGAACATTTTTGTCTAAGTCTATTATGATATATACCAATTTCTTCTGACCAGTAAGTCAGTCAGTTCCTCATCAGAAAAAGGCTTTAGAGGATTCTATCTACCGGTCTATCAATAATTTTATAAAGTCAGCTTCCAAGCACAACAAAAAGGAAAGGAACTTGCCTAAGGAAATATAGCAAATCAGTGGTACAGCTGGGAATAGAACCTAGATCTTTTAACTTCTAGTGTTGTGTACTAATCAATCGAGTACACTGCCTTTAGTTGCCACTTCAGCTAGCACTAGCTAGTGAGACCCATCCAGTTGTTAGTTATGACAAATTATTTCTCTAGTCTCTGTCTTTTCTTTGGTGCATGTGCATGGCTCCCTTGCATAATGTTTATGAAAATTGTTCATTTACATCCAAGGGCGAGAACGGAAGGAGAGGTCCCTAAGAAAAATGAAAATGAAGGAATTTGGGGCCATTTTATGACCCTGGGAATGAAAAAAACCCCAAAGCAAACAAACAAAAAAACAGAAACAAACCCACAAACCCACAGTGATTTTCTTTAAAATCACAGTTTTAAAGAATAATCTTCAGAAGGGGAATCTCCTTATGTATGGGCATGCACCTAGGATAAGGGATAGGAAGTTTGAAACTAGATAATAGGCTAAATTCCTCCCTAGTATAACTCCACTGAAGTCAGAGCTCTTTGTGAAAACATATCTCGCCACATATTGTTATTCTACTAATCTAGCCAATATAATTTGTAAAAAAAAAAAAAAAAAATAGAACTAATGTTTTGTTAATGGAGCAAGAGACTTCAGTTCATCCCTAAATCAGGCCCCGATTCTACAGTTCAACCCTATTCAGCAAAGCACTTAACCATGTGCTTAACTTAACTTTACTTGATTTCATGGGATGTAAGCACATTCTTAAAGTTAAGCATGTGCGTAAGTGCTTTGCTGAATAGGGATGGATCATGGGCTTGGCTACACTTGCGAGTTAGTGCGCAATAAAGGAGCCCCGTACGCACTAGCTCACTCCCCCTCCACACTGGCAAGGCATGTAGAGCGCTCTGACTCCGCAGCTGCAGTGCTCCTGGTACTCCACCTCGGCGAGTGGAATAACGTTTGCTGCGCCTCCGCTGGAGCGCTGTGGTGCCAGTGTGAACGGGGTGTTGCATTACTGCGCTCTGATTGGCCTCCAGAAAGTCCCATAATCCCCTTAAGTCAAGTGGCCACTCTTGTCATTGTTTTTGAATCACTGCAGGAATGCGGATATGCCCTTTGAAAGCTCCGTTTCTGACAGCCAGCTGCTTATCTGCTCCGAGACAAAGCAACCATTACTGTGGAATGCTGTGTGTGAGAGAGAGAGGCGGGGGGGGGGGGGGGG